AAGAATACAATTATGTGATCTTTAACTGTTTTTATTCAAATTTAAAACCAATGCAAACAAGTAATAATGAACACCACTGTGGTATTAATTGTCCGACTTCTTATATTATTATATTTTTCAAATATTTCTTTAGTAATTACTAATGAGCATTACAAAATAAAAATAAAAACTTTAAAATTTAATATTTTCACCATTAAAATATTACTCTTTAACACGCCATTATCTGTGTAACACGAGATTAGGAAGTAGGATGTAGTAACGAATGAAATATTTATTTTGTGTACCTACGAGTGTAAAAAATTAATTTGATCTTAATATTATTTATATTAAAACGCCTTGTATACTTATATTCATATTTTTGATATTTGTACTTCTTCAGATTCTAAGGAAATCGAAGTCATTGAAATATAATATGGATAATTTTTTTTAAATTGATCACGATGTTTATGAATTACGTAAAAAATTAAAAATTAAACGCTTATAAAGAATAAAATTGTTTTAATATATTTTATTTTATTTTAAATTGGGGCATATTTTACTAGGAGCATTGTATTAAATGTTCAAAATTTTTTACTTATTAACAAATTAAAAATTTTTAAAAGTCACTTTTATAAATAGACACAAAAAGAGCCAAAATATTTTGAAAATTATATTGTCTAGTTAATATACAAATATGAGTATTTTAAGTATATCGATAGTGACAGTTATTAGTTTTTGAACTTTTACTCTCTCAAGGAAATATTTAGATTTTTAAATTTATTATCAAAATCACCTTCAATGTTTAAAAATCTAAGAATTTTTACCGCTCCAAATGGTGATGACGGACACAAAATAACATATTTAATTTTAAAACTAATACATTCATCTCTTTGCTAAAAAACTCAAATGAAGAATACTTAGTGTGTAATATAGTATAATGAATCTTAATATTATAATTGTACACGATATATCTGACTCTATACTTAAGCCTTGTAGGCAAAACCATGACTAGTTATATAGAAACGCGTCATGGTCCTAAATATGTACTGACAGTTTGAGTATGATGAAATTTATTGGTTTTCCGGATGTTTGTTTACATTTTTAACTTCTCAAACTAATTTCCACGTCAAAATGTTAGTATAAAAGGTGTTATTTATTTAAAAAAATATTACTTACATCACTTGTACGCTAGCGTAAAATTGTTAAGAACGTAAATCCTTGTATTTTTAACTGTAATAATTTATATTAATTTTATAAGTTCAATTATTATAGATTTCATCTTGCATCTATAGTCAATACTGTGTAAATTATTTATTTTGTTGCTTATTGTTAATCAACAACATTATGCTTGAATTGAATGTATATTTAAATGAAAGGAAGCTCACTGGACAAAAAAAATATTTTTATAATACCTAGTGAATTAATTTGATTTTATATGCTAATCCCCACGTGGCTCAATTATTATTATGATTACAATTTGGTATATAAAAATACAGATTATACCTAACGTGATAGCAATTTCACGTTTATATTGTTTTGAAACGATATTTAATCCTCTTAACATTTATTAGTTTAGTAAAATGTTTTATATGCTAGAAAAAAAATGTAATACTTTCAACATATTACTTGGTATGATAAAATTAATATAACTCATAATTTAATATTTTTTATTTATTAGTTCTACAAAATAATATTATAAGTATCTGTGTATTTTGTACATTACATACAACTATACAAAATATGTATAAATTTATGATGTTTAATTTTACGACATTGAGCTAACATTTTTAGTTGTAGTAATTTAAATGATAATCCCATAGCCGAGGGAATTATCGACAAAATTTAAAACTGACGAATAATCCAACTCCTAACTACTATACACTTACACATACTTGTCTTTAATTAATGAATATGGCTGATATGAGTCTATTAACCATATTATGTTCAGAAAAAATATCTATAAATATGACAATTTTGAAAAAATGTATAAGCGTGTACATTTATACTTTCTTCCCTCAGCTTTGAAAACGATTTTCGACACATTTTCTATGTTAGAGTTTGTTGTGAAAAGTACTGAATAGTAGGTTGAAAATAATAAACTCTTTTTTTTTATAAAATTTGTACAAATTTATAATTCTGTTTATTCAGATATTATTTCTTAATTCAATATATTTACAAAAAGAAAAATTACGAACCATCATTTTCGGCAAAAAATTAATTATTTAATATAATAACACGCATTTCTTATAGATTAAAATGTTTTCTAGTGTCTTCCATTTTCCATATAATATTTCTTGTGAATTTTCAATTTTGTATAATTTATTGTATAGAAGTAGTTTAATGATTTGTTTCAAAAATCGTAATTATATATATTTTGTATTTTGATGTTGTATACAAATAATTATAAAAGTTTAGGAAACCATTTTATTAATTATTTATTTTGCTGATTTATTTTTATACAGTTTTCTAAAACGGAAACCAAAGTAGAGAAATCATATCGTGCCTGTGTTTTTAAGACCGTATGAATATTTTATTTTTTCTCCGCCTTTGTTTTTGTAAGCAATCCGGACCAAGTTATAAATATTAAGCAGGGGCTTCCACTAGATTGAAATTGTAATTTTTACGAAAATCCTGGTCGGCCGAACACCGAATTAAGATAATGAACTTCATATATTACACTGTATAATCTGTAGACGTGCTAAAACTATATCCCGCCCCCGGGGTAAACTCCATTTTAAAGGCTTTCCATTAAGATTTCTTTTAATCCTCTTCTAATTAGTGAATGTTTTCCACGCATATAAAATCTCATTTTTTAACAAAACTATATAACCTTATAATATATATATATATATATATACAATATACATATATATTTATTGTTGTGAAATTTCTTCAAATTTTAAAGGTCATGAATTAAGTGTATATGATAATTAGTATTGCATAATGTATTGCCAACCAAAAGTGACTATAACTAGTGAGTACATAAATATTATTATTATTTTTGTTTTTATTTAAAAAGAAATGCAAACACCTAATTTCTGACCTTATTTTTATTTAACTAATTTTTGAAGAACCAGCAGTGGTATTCTCAGATTGGTCAGGGATCCTCTTTATATTCTTTTTTTTCTTCTTGCTGTTAATTAAACAGTTTTTTAAAGGTTTTTTATTTGGACTACTGTCTACCGCAAATACTTTTAGAACGAGAATTTATGGATTTTTTTTCTTTATTATACAGAGAATTTTGTTTGACTTTTTATTATATTTGCTCAATTGAAACGAGTACCATTCAAAATTTCCATTAAACCATTGAGTGTTTTCTTTGGCCAATTCTGAATAAATCTAACCTTTGTCACCACGTTTTTCTTCGCAAATATACCAAACCTTTATAGAATAGTTGATATATTTGTGTATTATTTTAAACAAAACATTTAAAATTAATTTGAGTGGTTAATACTTAGACTACTTTTATATTTTTCTTGTTCCTATTACGTGACTAGGATGCGTTATAAACATAAAATATTATTATAAAACATTAAAACATAGTAATACATTAAAGCGATGATTATAATATTAAAATATTTATTAAATTCTATTATTATATGAAACTGATAATTTGGATTCAGTTGCTCTGTTTTCATTATATGTACTCGTATTAATTTTCATGATAAAAATAGGTACATCGGATTACAATAATGTTTAATGTTTATATTTTAGACTAATGTTATTGATACGTGAGATTTAATTGGCTACGTATTCAAAAAACTATTCATGAGCAACAATGGTTAGTCATATATTTTCTCAACAGTCTATGATGAGTTATGAGTTATGACTATCAAAAAGTTAAAAAAAAAAATAGTATTTGCTATAATCCTTGTGTGTAATATTGAAATATTTTTTTCAAATAATTTTTTAATGATTTTTAGGTATATTTTAGTTTTTTTCCTAAAACAATGTAATTATTAATTAGTATTAAGTATTTCCATATCTCCAATGGGCAACCTACAAAAAATACTTCTGTAATTCTATCTCAACTATTAGACGTGTTAGACTAAATTGTCTATTTTGTATAAAATCATGTATAACATAGGTACCTGCTATTATGATCAATTTTTCAATATTTTAATTTTAAAACAAAAAATATTTTTTTTTAAGTTTATGATCTTAGTTCAAGCTATAACTTTTTACAATAATCTGATAATAAGTTATTTTACCTATTGAAATGTTGACCTAAAGCACATCGTGTTGGAAATACGAATCAAGATTTCATTTTCATCTGTATAATAAATAATAATATTTGACATTTTTAAATGAAAATAGTTGGCATATCATCTTCTTGTTATAGGTCCTTCATAGGATAATATTTTGGTAAACTATATCAGTTGACCAGTTAATATTAATGTCATCCATTATTACAAATAATAATAATTTTTTTGTTAGGATTCATACTATTTCATGTATGATTTTTTGGTTTTTCCCTTCATCAATTAAATTTATTAAAATAAGTAAATTTTTCATGAAAATAAAAATGTATTGAAACAGGTAACACAAACATCTGCATAATTTAACATGACATTATATTTATTTTCATATTATTGAATAAATTACTGTATGCAGTTTACGTCTATATTATCAGATTTCAAGCTGGTAGATATTTCGTAAAATATTATGTCGTCACATGTACATCCAATATATAAAAACAATATTATATTATTATGACTGTACGTACGTATTATAAGTATTGAATATTGGGTAAAAAATGAATCGCACTATAATATTACTTAACTATTAATATAACTTTTTATATGTCTATGCGGAAGTCATTATTGGACATAAAGATGTTTTTTCCCCTATTAATTGTGTATACTTAGGTAATAATTATTCAAATCGATCGATGATTTATTTTATTGTTACAGAAGTATAGCATTCTATGAAAAAATAGAAAAGTCTATAACTATAGTCTATAGAACTTGAGAAATGTGTAAGAATAATGTTATTAATTTTATATCTGTTTCTTTTTTCAGACTTTAATCAAGACGGCAAACCAGACAATATAAGCTTCATGATTAAGAGGGTGAAAGTGCACTCTAACCCAGACCCTACCTACAAGTTCCTAGGGAATTACGGCGTGGAGAAGTTTTTAGAAATATTTTCGGGTAAGTCGAATTCAACTAAATATAGACACACTCTGTGAATTTAACATTCCATAAAGATAACATTCCTGCAGACTGCAGGATATAAAATGATTTTACTACTCAATTGGTATTTTTACGCTCTAAAAGGTCAACACAAAAGACCCTTTAACACCACCGGTGCCATTTTTTATGCATTTATTTTTACGTCTAAACTGATGGGCCTTTTTTTGTTTTATCTTTTTTTCTCATTTAAAATTCCATTTATAACAGCTGCTTCAAAGAGTACCACAAACGTTACTTAATGACTTTGGTAGGGTAAAAAAAGTTCCATCTCCATTACTAACATTGTCAGGGTACAACAATAATGAAATATATAGAAACAAACCTTGGTGGTGAGTTAATGTTAATTCCCAACTAAGAGAAACATATGAATACACAGTCTTAGCAAGTATATAAGTAGGCGTAGGTAGATATAGTTATAGGTTCCATTGATTTGAAACATTAAGATTGAAGTGTTTAAGAGGTGAAATCGCTTAGGAAATGATCACACGTTTATATCTAAATGGTAATAATTTGAGGCTCCAAGGTAAACAGGTTGCCTTGCAAATTATTTTGCAAACAATTTACTATAGAATCCCAAGACTATTAAATAAATTAAATATATTTTACAGTAAAACAACGTAAAACTATATTAATTGTTTAAATTACTTTCCAAGCATTAAAAAGAAATTGTTTCGTTCAATTTTAAATATTTAAACTTTAAAGTAGTTGTTCATGACTTTTGAATGTAATTATTTTGGATTTAAATGTAATTTATGCATCTAAAAAAACAAGTAATCTTTAGATTTATTGAATATTAATAACAAATGTATATATATATATATATATATATTATTTTAGATGAAATTCAATATTTAAATTCAGATCTTGATAATTATTCACATTATTCTGTATATTTGTATCGCTAGTTGTATCTGTGGTAATAATGTAATATAGTTTATAATATAGACACTTTATAATGTAAATTTATATGGTACTAATGGCCAAGTCTTCGCAGCAAAATAAAAATCAATTACACAAAAAAAAGACACGTAATATAGTTTGTATACTTTGTTAAATGATAAAACTGTTTCTAGTTTTATAAAAGTTTAGTTAAGCGAAAAAGCAATTTCAAGTTGGTAAAACTGTATTTACTATACGTCTATACCTAATAAAATAAAAAGTACAATTACTACTTACGCCTACATACAGCGTAATATCTTAATATAATTATTGTAAGAACCTTGAAATTAAAAATTCGTTTAAAATTTTTGGGCACACTGTGTACATTTTACATAAATTTATATTATATATTAGCTACATTATTTACTTGAGTCCGCACGGGTAGTGAATAGGATTTTTAAAAATTAATTACATTTTTTTAATGTGGCAAAAACCGAACAGATGGCGCCATGGGTGTATTTCTTTCCATCTCTCAGATTTCCGGAGTTGGGTCGATCGTGTAAGCCTATAGCCCATAAGCTATTCTTTAGAAAATTATCTACAATATACAAAACGCAGCATGTAAATCGAATTAGTAGTGTCAACACCAACCCGTTACAGACGTAGGCATATTTTCAGTGTTGTATATTTATACATATAGAATAATAATTAAAGTATTATGTATTAAAAAAAAACTAAATGCATTCCTATTTAGCTCTTCCGAGTGTCATATAAAAAAATTAATAATTCAAATTGTCTATTCCTTGTAACTTTAGATTTCATGCATAATTTAAATATCATAATATTTCTAAATTCGAATTATTTTTATGAGTACATGAGAAAGTTGAACAAATTAAAACACTTAGTATTTGATCTGTTATCATATATTATATATTAATACTATTGTATACTTACCATTGTAAAAGTATTTTTAAATAAATATATATGACAAATTAATTTTGTTCATGAACTTAAAAATATGCTTATTTGAGTATAAACAATTATGTAACATATTATTATAATTATAATATATATCAATATCGTAGGAAATTCGAATTATTATAGATTTGGAATATTATGTTCCTCTCTATGCCGTACCTATAGAGCTTGTACAGTCTTATACTCTTATATTTCATATTTATTATTTGAAATATGAATCCTCCTATAAAATTATAATTTATTTTAAAGTTCAATATTTTAATATTTCAATATAAATATAATTATTTAAAGATTGTATACTCAATAGATACACTATAAATACTTTATTATTTGTTTTACTTTATAAAAATCGTAATATAAATTTTAAATATTGTTAATAATTTAAATATAATCTTATTGTTAGAAAATTGTTATTGTCATAGACAATACTTTACTATAATATAAGCTAATGACCCTTATAGCCAATAACCTATATTAGATCAAATAAAAATAATAGTACCTACTTTGTGCAGGTACATTTTTATAAATTTATAATTATTATATTTTATGAAATTAGAAAATAACATACACGCAAATAATATGAATAAGTACATTTAATATTCCTTAAGGCTAATACTTTAAAATTAACAAGTAATAATTCAGCAAAGGTTCTTTTATGTTTGTTTTAAATTACATTTTATTAATTATTTCTTAGATGAAATAATTTAATCATTGATATAATATTTCTAATAAAACCCACGTTTCACTCGTCTAGTGACTAGTATCGAAACTATCGAAATGAAACGAGTGTTCAAGACTTATTTATAGTAATATCTGTTCCATATCCTAGCTTTCTGTTGTTTTCTTTAACTGTAATAAAATACTGTAATAAAATTTTGTATTAATTACGCATAAAATAACACTTTAACAACACAATTATTCTTATTTATACGTATAACTAAGTAACTTGTTCGTGCTTATAATAATATTTTAAAGATTAGATTGACCTAACTTCCCACCGATTTTCAAACAAAAAAATCGACAAGTGAATATTTCTTTTGAACTTTTTCATTTCAATGAAAAAAATAAAATTATAAATATTTAAATAACACCAATTCATTGAATTCTGGCTTAGTATTCTATTGCAGGGTATAGTTAACTAATAAGTTACTAGTAATATTGACGTCAACTAATAAAATATTTCATGAAACTTTTATAATGTAGTAAGTACTAAGTTAGGAATTTAATTATTCTTTTCCCCCAATATTCTTTTTTTTATGGTTATATGATATTTTCTTATCGAATTTTTGAAAGTTTAGCGTACTTTGTACCCTACAAATAATTTTCATATGACAGTTTATTTTTGTATTTATTTTAATTAGACATTTAAAAAGTTCAAATTGTGTGCTGATTTTCATTTGTTATCATATACTAAAGATATCTGTTCAATAAATATAAAAAATAACCGTAAATCAATAAAATAGTAGCACTTATTAGCTACCTAATTCAATTAGATATTAATATTTATAATTACACAACGTAACTCGCTGTATTGAAAACTTAATAATACAAAAATGTTAATGTATTTCATTTGAAAATCTTGCTATATAAATGAAATATGATTGCAAAAAATGTATGATACTACTATACCAGTTATCGTAATAACAGGAAAACGAATATGCTCAGTTCTCACGTTTCATAATACTATAGTGACTATGCGTATCTGGTTACTGATATTCTATTATAATCAAACGACTTTAATCATTACATGATTAGTAAATATTATCATCAAAAATACGTTTCGAGCTATTTAGCACTTTCTGTAAAATTGATATTGATGGGAGGTACATTTATATTTTAGTATAAAATTCTTTTATTTTACGATTACTTTACAGTATACCTGACACCTGCGCTTACGTCAATACTCAATACTATTTATCTTTTTATCATCTAACTTTTTATTCAAACAACGTGTGCTGCAGGATAATATTTTTTTTGTAATTTAAAGTTATCCTTCTATTGTCTCTCATTTTTACATTTTGTTTACTTTATTTTCTATGGCACTTTCCATAACCGCACACAAAATTTATAAGTCAATACCTACTGCCTACTACACTATAGTACGATACAATTCATCAAAACTCGTAGATTGCCAGTGTTAATTCAATTTTCTACACATTTAAATCAATTAATATAGATTACTTTGTTCAAAACATAATAAATTATTTGTATTAAATGTTTTCTAAACAAATAAACTTAAGTACTAATTTTAGATAAAAACAAGCAATACGAAATTCTGCAGTATGAAATTTTATATTGGTTTTACAATGATGTTTTGAGTTTTTGAAATCGAGAAATAGTGTAACATTTACAATGGTGTTTTCCTTTGTATTCCTATTTTTCAGTGAAAACTTTTGAAAAAGTGTTACTTCAAAAGTTTCCAGTAGTGCTACGTCGATTGGAAATCGAGTTTTGTTGGTAATTTGATTCATATAGAAATAGGTACATAATTTTGCGATATTCTTGATAATTTCCAAAAGCGTAAGGAAAAACACAGAGATATAAGTTTCAAATAAATAAAAACATTTAAGCAAGTGCGTGGTTTTAACCGAACTCTACACAGAACCGTTATCCGAATACGATGCTCCAAAATTTAATATCACAACACAAATTCAATACACCCGTTATGTGAATTCAAATACTATATCACTATATCAGCACTTTTTATTTATAAATTACCTAGTAAATTACTTATCTTTTTTCTCCCTCATTTAAATCCATACTTGTACCTATAATGTTTGAATAACAAGCAATTTCTTTTATCAATTCAAATCTATTAATCTGTGTAAAAGTACTATAGCAGGTACATATACTAGCGATTATGTTTACCAATCATAAAAAATGATCTGATATTGTCAATACACTTAAGCAAGTATAAACTAGTTTATAAAATATGCATAGTAGACGTAACGTATTTATTTTTGCAACGGTAAAATAATCAAAATTAAAGATAATAATATGTAGGTAATAGGATTTTTTTTTAAACGTTTTTTAAATTGATATATAATTTTAGGTATGTATATATATATTTACACAACAGTTTATAGGTACATACTACGTATTATGCGTCGTAAACCGCCCAAACCCGTCCAGTATACCTTTTTTTTCACACCTGCTACTTAATATAACATTAATAATTATTATCAAGTTTAATTTTTGTTTTCAGAGGAAGATTACGATGCTTTTTGTTTGGCTTACATGTTCACGTACAGAGATTTTGAAATGGGTACTTTGGGCTTAGCGTGGACAGGCGATTTGAAGAACGCAGGCGGTGTGTGCGAAAAAAACGGAGTGAGTATCTAGAATTTCGTCAGTGGTTGAAAACAAAAACCCATATCCAATAGTAATTATGATTAAACTTGTATTTCAGCATTACCGGGGTAGTTTAAAAAGTTTGAACACCGGTATAGTGACTCTATTGAATTACGGAAAACACGTACCTTCCGCAGTGTCTCACGTTACTCTGGCACACGAAATTGGCCATAACTTTGGCTCGCCTGTTAGTATATAAATTTAATAAACAATATTTATTCATCGTTAGTTTTTATGTTTCATCCATTAATTTAACTGGATTTGCTTGCAGCACGACCCCGAGATCTGTACGCCCGGTGGTGACGACGGTAACTATATTATGTTCGCTCGAGCAACTTCGGGCGACAAGAAAAATAATAATAGGTTTTCACCGTGTAGCTTGTCCGCTATAAATCCTGTACTAAACGTCAAAGCGAGGAGCACTAGAGGATGTTTCACCGGTACATAATATTATAGTTATAATTCAAATTAGTTTTTATTGTTTATTATTATCGTCATTATTATTATTATTTTTTTTTACATCGGCGAGTGTGAATTGTACATACATCATATGTATACACTATACACATTAAGGTAACTTATATTATTCGTTTCTATTCTTAAAGAACCGCAAACATCGATTTGTGGTAACGGCGTCGTTGAACCTGGCGAAGAGTGCGATTGCGGATGGGAAGAGGACTGCAAAGACGCATGTTGTTTCCCTCAAAGGAGATACTCTCCACCGGAAGAACCGCCGTGTAGATTGACACCAAAGAGTGTCTGTAGCCCTTCACAGGTACCCATAATTGTTTAACTCGCATGCAGTTGGAGTTTCTTGCAGTTCGTCGATAAATAGCAAATAAATATTATTTACATTTTAGGGGCCTTGTTGCACGAACGAATGCAATTTGAAAATGGGAGAACTTTGTCGCAATGACAATGGTTGCCGAGATGCTAGTTATTGTAACGGAATGACTCCTACCTGTCCTGCTTCTATCAACAAGCCAAATAAGACTGTATGCAATGAAGAATTTGTATGCTACATGGGAGTAAGTATATTATAATTAATACTTGTACAGTTGTACCTATACATTTATTTTACTTTTTACTATGTTATATTTTTACTTAATTGCTTAATTAATATAATTTTTAGGAATGTACTGGGTCTATATGTCTCGCATATGGACTAGAATCCTGCCAATGTTTACCCACCCCTCAGGACTCTCCAACTAAAGCTTGCGAGTTGTGTTGTAAACTACCCGGTGAAAATCAACCTTGTTTGTGAGTTATACTTTTTTAATTATTATTAGGTAATTAAAACTACAATTTGTATACAATTATTACGACGGGTAATACATAATAAAATAAAAGGTACAATGACAGGACGACTTGAGATTGAGGGGTAACTCTATATATATGAAAACAGAATTCTAATTACCACTTTGTAATAATTACCTGTGACGTCCTTTTAATTAGGTCATCATATTCTTGGAATAACGTGCCATACGACATACCAGATATGTATTCTAAGCCGGGTACTCCGTGTAACGACTACAATGGATATTGTGATGTATTTCAAAGATGTAGAGAGGTATGTACATCGTAATTATTATTAATTTTAAAAATAAGACGTTTATTGAATATTCGATGCCTGTATTAAAATGTGAACATTAATACAATATGAAAACCATTATATTAAATATTTCTTTGGTCTAGGTTGATCCATCAGGGCCTTTAGCAACGCTTCGAAAGTTGTTGTTATCTGAAGAAAGTATTGCTTCATTTAAAAAATGGGCTATAGATCATTGGTACTATTCTGGTCTAATAGTGGCCTCTTTCCTATTGATGCTGGTACGTTTAATATTTTTTTTATACTTAAAGAATAATATTAATGATTTTAATATAAATATACATAAATTTAATTATTGTAATAGGATATAACATAATGTAATATTTAATGTTTAGTGTAAATTTATTTTCATATTGATGTTTTTGTTTATTTGATTTTTTTTTTCATAAATTCAATTGCGCATAAAATATGGTGTGTTCAGGTTATTCGGAATTCACATTGTAAGTCATTCTGTGTATGAAATACAGATCCTAAAATCCAGTATTTACTTATACAGTATTTACCTTGTCCGGTTTTCCGCAATGTAGACTACAATATCATAATTCACCGACATATAGGCACCTTAGGGCTTAAACCATAATAGTATTTATTGGTATACATTGTATAATTACCGAAATCGTAGGCGTTATATTATTATGATATATAATATAACCGTACCTATATTATCAACCATAATAATTACCAGTGTCTAATATTACTACTATACAAATTTTTAGGTTCTAAGTACGCGGTTGTTTGGAAAACGATCGGATCCAAAATTAAAATCGGTGACGATCATTCACAGTTCGACCACAGAAACTGTCCGGTTGCCAGCTGACGGTGACAATCAAAACGTTACCGTTCATCCCGCTGCCGTGCGTTCGAAACTTCCATTGAAAAAACGAGTACGTGAAAAACGTAACGTAAATAATAACAACAGTCCCGCAAAAAAGAGTCGTAAGAATGTCGCAGCGGAGGAAGAATCGACGACGGAGACGTCTTCGCCCAAAAAAGTCGGCCCAGGAGCCCAAAAGAAAGAACGGAAGACAAGGCGAAAGAAATCAAAAGGCGTCATTGACTACAGCATCGTCCAGAACAAAGTGCTAGTTGCGAACAAGAAAACGCCTGAAGACGACCCGCTGGGCAAGGTTCGCAATTGGCTGTTGAACTCGCATCACATCGAGGCTCTCGGTGGCACGTTGAGAAAGTCAAAGTCTTCACCGGCCGGTTTCACGAACCCTCCCGAACCGCCCAGACCGGTGGCCAAAGCTCAACAAAAAACCAAAGACAATCAAGTTAGTTTACAGGTAGTGTACAAGCCCCCATTCAAGTTTAGCGTCAAGCTCAGCAAGTCCAAACCGGACCTAACGAAAGACAAGCGGCCGGACCGCACAAAGCAGCGCGCGGCCCTATTGATCAGGGCCAATAGGGCGCGTGGTGGTGGTGTCGCCGCCAGTGCTTCCAAGCAACAAGCGAAGAAGCAGCAGGCCAACAACGGCAGCTGCAGCAGAGCCGCCCCGCAGGAGCCGAAGAACGCGTCGACCGCGGTCACTGCCAGCAGACTGCAACCGCCGGAGCCCATCTACGAGAACGCGGCCATCGACTTGCTACGCATGTCGTCTACGGAACACGATGGCCACCAGCCGATATTCCCGGTGGCCGCGTCGCCGCCGAACAAACAGAGGAAGTCGTTCGCGGGTGTGGACGCGAAAACCGACGAGGCGCCCCGATCCAAGCGGAACAGCGTGCCACAACAGTCACTGCAGCAGCCGAGTACGTCGGGCAACAGCAATCTGATGCGGTTCCCGTCCACCGAGAACAAGCATCAGGCCAACAGCAACAGCTGCCCCGCGCCCGCCAATAACGCGACTAATAAATCTGATGAAAACCGAAAAGACGAAAAAACGTGATAGGCGCGCGACGAGGTAATTTTACGATTTTTCTTTTAAAATTATGTTAATATTAATATTACGATGTTATTCTTCCATCATCATTACGACCGATCGTGTTAGTCTTTACGTTAATTTCGTTCATCGAATTCCGATCGAAACCGTCGGGAACCCAACACATAGCATGCCTACCGCATCGGCGCTCGTGATCTCAGTCCCGAAGTTTCCCCTTCACCCACCCACCCACACACTTCCGATTTCGTATTCAATATCTCGCTGACGATGACAATTATTATAATATAATCGTCCACAGGTCACCCACAGTTCCGGTCGCCGATTAGTCGTGTACATAATATATTATTATTATATTCCATCGCCGTGGACTGGAGAATCGGTCGTAGGAAATACGTGCGTGTGTCAGTTTTTCCGAATCATTTACGTTTCGATTTACTCGATCCCGTCGAATCGCAATTTTATATCGTTTTGGCGTACCGTCGATCGACACTACTTTGTGATAAATGTTAATAGCGCGACGAAAATGAGGAAAAGCTGACTAATGCAAAATCTACATTGCGAACGACAATATTTCGTAGGGTCTTTTTATTGAGCGTATTACTCTCTTTTTTTTACGCGTTTTCCCATTCCATTTGTGTATGTGTACTATGTAGGTATAACCCGAGATTTCGAATACTAATAATGCATAATAAAAACACGAAAACGCATCCATCACAAATATTATTATGCAACACACTGTTTGTTGTAGGTAATAAACGAAATTATAGTCATTTTTATTATTAAATGAGTTTCCCTCCTCCCCTCCCTTCATTCGTTTTTATTTCGTTCCTCGCTAACAACAACAGTTCGTTTCGGGCTGCAGTGGGTTTGAAAAATCTACAGAGACCTTTTTATTTCTACATATTATTATTATTATTATTATTATTATTATTATTATTACTATAAACTAACCCCAATAACAACATAATAATAAAACGACCCGCGTCGTCGTGATTGATTCATCTCGAGTTTGGCGTAACGTCTATAATTTTTTCTCTCCGGTGCAATAATAACGTATTATAATAATATTATTCAAATCGTCAGTATTATATTATTAATATATTATTCTCGCCGTCGTTTAATTTTAAGAATATAAAATTGTGTACAATTATTTTGTCGTACGGATGTATATTAGGTATTTATTATTTATAGAAGATCTCTTGTTTTGTTTTAAGTTTTTTTTTTTGTAATTTTTTTTTAACTACATGATGGCAACAGTGCATGTAAACACAACACTATTGCCTCGTGTAATAGGAACAAACCTCGCCTTTTTTTAAATTTTATTTTATAGTATTCAAATTGAAAATCTATATGCAATATAATAAGGTAAAAAATAATGAACTACTAATACGAAGAATATAATATCTTTTAACTTGTATGCTGTCAGTTAGGTTATTCGTTCTGATTCTGTTATGACATAATAATAATAACAACAATAAGGAGTCTTCCATTTCATTCGTTTTCCTCACATAACACATACATGCATATTCGATGATATGATAATAATATTAAGTTTAACATAAACAAATTTTTACATTGTTTATTGTTTGTCGCTCTACCTACTTAATTGTGTGTTTTCCATTAAATAAGTATTTAACTAAATCGATAAAAAATAACTTTCTACCTACACTTATAACTATTAATCTAATAAAATGAAATAAAATATTACAAATTGTATTGATAAAATATTATTTAATTATGAACAAAGATAAATTTTACTTTTCGATTTAAATACAAAATTCGCCATGCCGAATGTCCATTATTTACTACAATTCGAATGTTATTTTAATCGATAAAATATTTGCCAAATTAACTGTTTAATATTTTTTAAATATTAAATCAAAAAACTAAAGCAAATTCCATCACGATATTCGTAATAATTGAAGAATAATATTATATTTTAATGAATATTGTAGATGAACAAATTTTAATTTCATCGATAAAATTCCAAACTTTCCTCAAATTTTTTTTACATAATTTTCAGTTTATATTTTTTGACTAACCGACACCTTAAATTATTTTTTATTCAATTTGTTCAACAAAACGTTAAATTTACAAAACAATGGCTGTGTTGTACTGATATTTTTACTGTAATATTATAGAAAATAATGTGTGTCTATCAATCAGAATGATAATCATGTATTAGTTTCTTGCATTTCATTAAATAGCTCAACGTTACATACTTATTCCTACTGCAATGTCGTTTATACATTAAAATTATAAATTTTGTTTTAATTAAAAATAATATCTGTACATACAAATTAAAAATTATAAATGATAATATGGCGTAATACCTATTGATAATTCATTGTATATTAATTTCTGTCACTCGTATAGAATTGACGACTATATTATATAATGTAAAACTGTATATAATAAAATAGATTATAATTCTCTGATTTTTACAGATTTTGTTTTAGTGTAGTATAATTTTTTTAATAGCTAAATTTACACGTGTTTAAAATCGTTTCACTGTTTTTTTATTTTTTATTTACTACATTAAACAAAAAAAACAAACAAACAAATACGTTAACGCTTTTTCATTAGTAATAATTTGAAAATAAAACTTACCTAACATTGTTATACATAAGATTTTATTATTCCTATAATGATCACGCTATTTTTTTTTTAACTTTGCTAAATACATTCTTCAGTGCCAAAATTAACATTTGGTAACATTTTTGTGTGCGTTTAAGAGTTATTTATGTGTTAATTTTTTCTTATTATTATTAAAAACCGGCGTGTAGATAAGACATAAAAATTATTTTGGACGGCAAAAACTACAATATTTACATGTGTCGTCTTATAACTAATAATTATTGTAAGAAGTTGTCGTGTGTAATTTTCAAGACGTGTAATACCTATGTATATTTGTATTTGTTTGCGTATAAGCTTCGAAATGTGTAATATTTATATTGTATTGATTTACATTATTATTTTTTAATTTTACGTAAACTACTGATTATGCTTAATTGTGATATATTACGCGTAACCACGAGAGTTCCGTTTTTAGATTATTTTTTACACTTACGAAACCGATTGTATTATATTTTAACAATGTACCGATTGTGCAGTATTGTGATTTGTTAAGTTGTTTATTATTATTACTATTTTTTATTTCATTTAATATTATTTTAAGATTTCATACTAAACAAAATGTGATACCCTACTTAAATGTATGTCCAAGTCCAACCATCTAAGTATTTTGTATGACCATTAAATGGATTGTATACTTACCTAAACGCGTGCATTACAATATTTTTGTCGGGTAACGCTAGTGTGCGGCTTACCTACCTACTAATTTAACGAATCCTTAAAGTCCTTCTTATAGAAATAGTGATTTAGACTTGATTAAATTTTGATGACTCCTTGTTGTATGCATAATAGGCTGTGCCTATACGTGCAGGTCGAGATAGGTACCTATACTTTCAACGGTGTACATACTATATATTTATATATAATCCCATCCACGTGCGTGCTTACGATGATAATAAAAATGCGAAACGAATTCATGCAAATGCGGGGCGGTAGTAACAATATAATGGTTTTTACTTTTCTAATTAACTCTGGTGTGGGTTAATTATTGTACGAGTTATAACTACCGAGCTGATAATTAGTGTAATAAATATCGCGCAAACATTTTATCAAGTTCCCAGTTGTATAGGTAGCGCGTGTTTGTTTAAAGTTATTATCCATCATATTATAAATAACTAAATAATACAAAATATAACACTTTAAACGAGTGTATAAATGGCAATTGCAATTCTTTAGCAATTGTTCAACCCAGTGGGTAGGTAAGTATGGTATATTTTAACACACAATAGGTCTGTTTTATGTTTTCGCAGCGCTGAAGAAGTATATGGCTGGCATCGAGTTTGAAACTTTAAAGTTAGTTTAAGTAGGTACAGTGGATTTAAATAATATTACGATGGCAAAAACCAAGTACGTATAAAAGAATGTTTTGCAAAATTAACTCTTCTCCGGAAAAAGTGTTTTTTGCGTAGTATGCTGCGCGTATATGCAGCGTAGTATTCTGCGTATTAACCGATAACATTATTTTCGACTTGCACGTCGTTTTATTTGAACAAAAAAACATTAGTATGACCAAAGTTATCACAACTTGAAGAAAAACAAAACGAATCTAGTAATTTGTTCTTCTTGTAAAATCACATTAACATACTTTGTTTGAAGCGACGTAGGCGTATACTGCGAACTACATAATAATGGGCACGGAAGACACGAAAAATTAAATTAAGGAAACTGGTATTATGTAAGTACCTACTAACAGACAAACATTTTTTTCTTTTTAAAATAAAATTACTTTTGTTTTTCTTTTTAGTCTTGAAATTATAATAATACGAAGTCTATATAATATCCGAACAACGCAGCCTGCTCTAAAATATTAACTGAATAAAATACCTATCAAAACTTTTCGTGCATTTCTCACTTAGTTTGTATAAACTTAGAGCCTCATATTCGAAATAATAATTGTTTGTACTGACTTTTAATGGATTGAATTTGTTGATGATTTACGCGTAAATGCGTAATCTTCGGGTTCTGCCGTAAGGCGATGTAGAGAAACTGTCAACAGTATTATGCAACTAGCGATTTTCTAATTCGGCGCCTATGAGAAACGTTGAACAAAATACAAGGGATAAAAAATCCCTAAATACAAATCAGAAATCGATTACATTTATCATTATTATCTGAAAAAAAAGGCGATGGCCATGCTCGGTGAGTCACTCTGTATATGACATTTTCTACTATGACATTACGCACATAACAATGATACAAGCAGCGGATGAAGAATTTTCCGATAGCATTATCATGTTATACTATAGGTACTCAGAGTGCGATGGAAATATATAACTGACAAATTCAATTAACCAACTATAATAATGTGTAAAAAACGTTTGATCTTATCGTACATATTACGATAAAAACACAAAATAATTAATAATTCTGATATAGTGTCATGATATCACTGACTTTTGTTCGAGGTGCTTGAAACATAAAACGCTGCAGTTACAAGTGTTACAACAAAATGTTTTTGCGAGCGTAATTTTTATTAGCAACATAAAATATATTTAATTAATATAAGCTGATTTCGTTATCGTATTTTTTATGAAAAAGTATACTCACGTATACCTATACATATACGTCATACATATATACCTATACATAATACATATTTAAATACATGTATATATATTATATTATTATTATTTCACTTTCTATATATAGATGGTATTATAATTATAGTGCGTAACGACCTGAGTCATTAAATGCGGGGGAAAAAATAATATTTTGTAACACGATATAATGCGTATATTTTATTTTATGTTTCGTATCGCTTTTGTGGATAGTCATTAAAAACGTTGAAGTAATAATCACAACTATTATCGTACATTTTCATTTAATTTATGAGTTTCCAATAAAGATAAAATATAATTTATCATCACAATATATTATTATAACGTGTAAATTAAAAGCTTTCAAAAAGGTATTCAATATAGTGACAAAATGTTGTGGGCACGTGAGCTGTAAAATGAAAATATACCCAGATACAGTGAAAAATTGAAATGTAGGTAAGTAAACACTTTTAACGATTATTTTTTTTATACAACGAGAATAAGACACTAAACTATTGATAAAGCATTATGTAAATATGACCTTTTGTTCATTATTAAATTCAGACTTGGGTATAACAAATGAAATATTCTGTGAAGGAAGTGTTTTTATTTCGTAATCGTTAATACAACTAAAATGTCCATGTAAATGTAAAATAATAAATTCTGTTATTACGAGTCCTTTAGTTTTGCTTAAAAAGTGTATGTCAACTCAACAAATGGCCAAGATGCGGAAGTTCAAATAATTAAATAAAAACATTTGTAAAATGTCAATAACGTCGTTTTATATTTCCAACGATTTGTTAATGATTCAGAGCGATGAAAATTGTGAATTGTATTCGAATATTTTTATTCAAACAAAGTTGAATAAATTTTAACTCCAATTTAAAATGAAATTATTATATCTCGATGCAAAACTTTTTAATATTAGTATAGATATTAATAAATAGCAATACTTATTATTAGTTTGCATTTAGACACATGAAGTTTATTATATTACGTACATTTGTAATTAACCGTATTTTATAAGACATTTTAAAAATATAGAAAATAATGTTATTTTAAAACGAGAACCAAAAACAAAAAATGTATATAGTATTATAGATATACAGTAATAAATGCAGATAGATAGTCTATAACTATTTATATAATGGACAATAGTAAAGTATGATTTAAAAATCACTTTTTGTTAAATTTAAAACAGTTTACGCGCATTGAGTGGAATGAGTGGAAAATGGTAAAAAAAGTAGTTAAAATAAGACCTAAAGTTTAGGCATTTGTTTTTTGTTTTTGTGCATACAGGCAGAAACGGCCAAGAATATAACATAATATCTTATGTACATATATTATATATATATATATATATATATATTAATCACTTAAATTTACTAAAATAAAAATAATAATAAAATCATTTTTTTTTTACTAATTATAAAAGTAACTCATGACCTATTTTATATTATCAATTTTCGAATTAAAAAAACGTCTGCGTGTTCGAAATTTAAGGTTTTAGCTTAACGTTATTAAATAATACCTAGCGCGAGGAGATCAGCTTTTGTACTAACACACATCACAGAAATAATATAATAAACTATATTATCGTATAATAACAACTAACGTAGGTATGGACATATCTATCGTTACAAACCGTTAGAGCTATGCCTTGATATTATATTTTGTAATCGTATCGGCTTACACAAAATATGATCCGATGCTCAACTGTCGACGTACTGTTTTATGACGACGATGATGATGATAGTCGTCGTCCGCACGTCATCGATCACGGACCACAATGACCCTCAGTTCTCAGTCATCACCGATGATCGGACTAAACAATAATCATGTAACATCGAACTATATATTTTGAAGCGTTATCCCTCGACCGTTATCTTGTTTTTGAAGTCTTGACGAGGGCGCATCATCGTTGCAAGGTACGCTATTCCACGTCATTTAAAATATTATATAATTATATATACTTTAACATGGCCTCGAAAGTATTAGGTACGATAAGACAATACCTAAAAAATATATTATTGTGTTGTTTAATGATACGCAGTAGCGTCATCCTTTCGAAATCAGTCTATTATCTCAGATGAATTAAACTCGGCTTATTAATTGTTTTGTTATTAAAATACATAATAATAGTTGACTTGACATTGCCAGTATAACGCAATTATTAACACTAGACATATCCTGTCATCCGTGTCAAGTACTCGCGTCTTTACTTTATTATAAACAATTATTAGACACAACTTTCTTACAACTATAATTTATATTATAATTATAAATTATAGTACGTCTTATTATACGTTGACATAATAATGTTTAAATAATACAAACACGTTTACACGGCGTTAAGAATTGGCAATTTAGGTACATTCGTGTCGTGTGAATCATTTCACGACATTTTATGGGTATAATTATTATTATATTTTAAACTTATGACATTGATTATAAATAATCATTGGTCATATAGTAATGTACATTACTAACGCATATAACCTATTTAAATATGGTACCTTTACTGCTATTCATGTAATTCAATAGTAACAATAATAGTATAATACATTTTTGACTACGACAGTATTCCGGGATTTGAACAAGCTTTTCGGGTATAGGTACAATACTGTTGTAAGAAAATGTTGTCGGTATTAAAGAGCATTACATTGTCCACCTAACACATCTTATTATTGTATGAAAAACTGAACATATGAATTTAAAATTTTATTTTTTACGCTTTACTCCGCACCTTACAATTATTATAAATAGTGTACTACCTAACTGTAATGCAAAAAATATGTTATATATGTCATTACAATGAGAAATTAGAACTAATGGCCTAATAACCTATATAAATACTATCAAAAAAAAATATTTTATTTTATTGTATACTCATCTAATATAATACTAATATACTATTACGCGTATCACGAATTCACAATAAATAAATTTAATACTTTTAAGTTGGTAGGTAATACTGTAATAGATATTAATACATTTAAATTCGTCCGCATAAATAATAGTAAATAATATCACAAGAATGCATGCAATAAGCTGCATTGGTAATGAAATCGATTGTGCTCAAAATACTAAAAATATATTTCAATCGTACAATTCCATTTTATTAAAGTAGCATACATACATTTTAGCATTTAATTCATTATTTATTACAATTTGTATGTACAGATAAATGATTAGTTATTCATAAATAATTGTAAACTATGTACGACTTACCTTTAGATAACAAGCGTTGTGCATTTAATGTTATATACCTACCAAGGTGGATATATATATGTATCCACCTTGATACCTACTTCAGTGTATACTATATTATAACCTAAGAATGTTTCCGGTCTATGACAAAAATCGTATCTATGGAACATAAACAATCATTCAATAATAACAAACATGTCGATCTAAAAAAAAAAACATCTTCGACGCGACAACCCTAGTTTTGTTATACAGCGCTTATATCCATTCAATATGATTACTTACTTCATTGCTGGCGTGCCCAAATGCCAGGACTTCGGTCACGCCAAACTCATCGCCGAGAAATTAAGACACAATCTTCCCAATTTCTCGTTTAAAATCATAGTAAAAACTGAAGCAGAATATCGAGTAGGTAATTATTATGGCGAGTATTAAATTATATTTTTGGGCCAAACATAATATTTTGCCGCGACGGTACAATAACATTATTGTCAAACCATATTATTAAAATATATATTTTATGACATATACTCTGTTCAGCGAGAGAACGCGCCGCCGGCCGGACAACATTTTTCTGCGCGTCCCCACGCGATACCCTGCCATGGAGGAACCGGGGCGTTCTCTCACTAGACAGAAAATAGTTATGCGTAATATATTATTATTGTTAGTATATCAGAAATAAAATTATAATTTGACAAATCTATAACCAGATGTACACGTCATACTATTGCGTCGCGTACACCCAGCACATGGATTCACCACCGTCTGCAGATGGATGGTTATAATTGGTAATCTGTAATAGTGTATAGGTAATAAATATAACGATTGTCAATGAATTGCACCGAGCCACAAAATATTTTAATAACAACGACACTATAATCTCGTGTAATCGATTACACATAAATCGACACGACGTTTTCAAGTCGAACCGTTAATATTGTATTTATGAGCACGTATATCAATGCGTGTAAGGTGCATTAGTCAGTGTGCTATTATTACGCAACAAGTTGACCGCTTGAACGTGATGCACACAATATATTATAATATAGTACCTACCTATTACCTAAGTTCAGTATGATATATTAAATTATTGCATTAAACAGTAACTAATTATTTTAAGTCTCCAATTTTTAATACCGCTAGGATTGGATGAACAAATTTTGCAACAAACAAAAATGGAAGATCGATACAAATCCATTAATCTGGAAACAAATACTTAACTCGAACGGTTCTTGCCAATTGATCGGTGGCATAAACGAATTTTTTGAACATCTCATAGAATATTACAACGTCGACACGCGTTTGGACAAAAAAATTAAAAAACTAATAGCGCTGGACAACGAAGAGGTTGGTGAATTATATTAGTTAGCAATAGAGTAGCTCAAGGGAAAGGCTATTTAAATACTATATTATTTTATTACCTATAAATGCTAAACCATGATGAAAACATCACCATTAAAAAATTCCAAGTGGGAAGGCATACCTCGTCCTTACTTAGGTTATTAGGTCACTGTACCTAATGGATATGTTCAATTTGATTTCAATGATTTATTCATTGCGTATACGATGGTCGGAGACAGTCTGCCCACCTATGCCCTAAAATATTATACCTTCCAAATTAATTTTATTATACATTTAACATTGCTGTTAGTAATTTCTTTTTTTACCAACAATATTATTTGTATTGAAAAAATGTTTACCGAAAACAAATTGCAAATATTATAATTTATAATGTATAGATACAGTAATTATCATATTACTACAACAATTATTAATGTCGCATACTCGCATAAGTTAATAACTGCAGACGACCAATTGGTTCGTGGACCTTCATATAAATAGCTTGAACTTTAATCTAAATATATTTTAGAAAATGTCATTGTGTGAAGTAAAAAATAAAAATATAAAGTTGCTAGTAAAAAGTTAAAATCTCTACGAATGTTTTAGGAATAACAAAGAAAAAACCATGATCATTTTTAAATAAGGTTTATAACTCCCAAATTAAAATCAACATCTTACATTCCACATTAATCTAAAATATACTATAAAAAGATAAAAATTTCAAATACCCACAAATAGCATAAAAAAAAAACCAAAAATATTTTGAAAGTTATATCATATCTATAAAGGTTATTATAAACACACATTAGCTAATTTATTTTTAAATTATAACAAAAAAACAAAATAGGTTTTTCGTAAAAAAAACTGTTTATTCTCAATTTGCTTTGTTATTAACAATTATTTTGAAAAGTAGTGGAGATTTTTCACTTTTGACTCCTCAAAACGCCAACTAGATCTGATTTCACTCTAGAAGTTGATGGTTGAAGCATTTACACTGTTCCAAAAGGACGGTGGCAGCTGCAGACCTGCCAGGTGGTGATAGACCAACAAAAACGTTCTTTTTTTAAACACACATCATTATACAATTATCAAATCATTCATATCGTATCTCAAAATCCAAAACATATTAGTAGTACTACTTCCAGAGTTGAAAAATATAACGACTCCGGCTCATTAATAATATTATACTACATATAATTAAATCAATATAGGAGTATCTAGAAAATGCTTTTCTAAAAACACGACATCGTTTAAATTTTTTTAAATTTTAATATCCCCTTAAGAATATTTAAGAATTTTTCTTTACCTTTATACACTTTACGTTTGTATTCACGAGGTAATTTCCAAGCTTCCTATTAGGTCTTTTAGTCCTTATACTTTATAGGTCCTAAATTCGGAACTACATACTCGAGTAGTTTGCTCTTATTTTTGGCTTATTTTAAATCCTATAAATTGGTCGACATTGATTGATTGAAGTGGGGTGATGCCGTGCTGGTCAGCACGGCATCACCCCACTTCAGTACCCGATTTGTATTATTATCTATTGCGTAATCTTGTCTTGTCGGTCCCGCAGAGAATGCGGTTTATGTTAACAAAGCAAGATCCCGTGTCCCGAGCCCCGGCGAAAAAGGTGTGCATAAGCGGCGCTACTTATCCGTCTACCTGTTACCTGGTTTCTGAGCTGTTGCAGTTGAAACGACTCCAAGCTGAAGGCAGTGGTCGTGTAAAGGTGTGCCTACATCATAGTGACTCGAACAAATACGGAGGTACGTCACTGCAATCACACGCACCAAACAACATTTACTTATAAATTAAAGTACCTATAGGTACATTTAAATTCTAAGGTGTAGTTCTTATGAAGACGTAAGTCTTACGTACACATTAGCAATAAGAATTTAAAAAAACTGATTTGAACTAGTTGTCAAGTCTACCTGACCGATAGTCCCAGATTTCGAATTTTTTGATTTTTACTTCTCCAAAAATTTAAATATTTCATTTCATTTTTTAGTACGAATTTTTTTTAAGATTTAGGGGGATAAACTAAAAAATATGGGGAAGTTGATTTCAAACAAACATGAAGACCAACTCAAATCTGTTTTTAGAATTTTTTTCGATTTACTAGTTCAATCTGTACGTTTGATGGAAACAAGTTTAAATTCCTATATTCCTTTTGTGTTAGACAAAGACAGAAAAAAACGCTTCCAATCTCCTTAGTAATATTTGAAATCGTGCTTAACATAATATTATATAATATACGTCTGTTGTCAACAACTCTTTGGATTGGGAAACACCTTATAAACAGTCTAAACTATTTTTTTTTTACTTTAACGTAGATTTTAAGCATCTTTAGGAACTTATGCGCATATTAAGTGGTATGGTGGCGGTACCCAGTGGAATGCAAACATTATGTTTTGTGTTTTCCATTTAGTACCCATATGGTTTTATAATGGAAGGTAGACCGGAAGGAATCGACCCACAGGACAATCGACCGACAACTAAAGTACTGACAAGATTTTAATTTATATTCCCATTTTAAAAATCTGGGCGTAATGTATATTATTGACTATGTTAATAATACATTTTTTTAAATAATATTGTATATTATAGTGTAGTAATGCTAGTTAAACATAATAAAATATAAATATAAATTTAAAAAAATACTGAAAAGACTATAAAGAATATATAAATGTATGTGATTGTAGAGTGTGCATTACATGGTTAAGTTGTGTGCAATACCGCTAAGATACTCCAGACGTGAAGGTAAACTTTAAGATTGTTAAAAGCAGTCTTCAAGCGGTTTTTGGCGTTTTTGCTGAAGATTTGTAGAGCATGGCTTTTGAGCTCCTCGAAGAATCTCATCCATTTTATGACTAATTTATTTCTATAACGTTCTAATCTCCGATAATTTCGCTGTAAACCGCATTATTTTTTGTCTTTATTTTATTAAATAAAAGAGACCTGTGCCAATTTACAAAATTATCAGCAATTTATGGCATATGTTTCCGTTTAAATTATATTTAATTAGCCATTACTATTTATTATATTATACGATTTTTATCATTATTAAATATTATTACTATACAATATTATAAAAAAAATGTATTATTAACAAAGTCAATAATATACCTTATGCACAGATTTTTAAAATAAGAATATAAATTAAAAATCTTGTCAGCATTTTGGTTGTCGATCGATTGACACAGAACCGGTTTTATAATATAATTTACTCATATACACATGTACTTTATCGTTTTACAGATCTGTTAAGAATTAAACATGAAATTTGCGACGCCGAATTTAATGTTCTCGGTTGCAGCGCGGTAACGGTGGTTCATAGCGAAGAAGAAGGATTGCTGAACTGCGATTTGTTAATCGTGATCGGCAGCATCAGAAGGCAAGTCCCTATCACCCTGCATGAGTCGATGAAACACGGTTAAGCGAACGTGTCCATAGAACGCGTTATTCTTTTTTTAGGAATAGGAATGAATATTGATAGTTAATAAAGAAACATTTGCAGAAATAATTATATTATGAAAAAAACTTTTCCAAATTTCGCACTTTAAATAAAAAATATTGCCCTTATAATTTAACAACTGTAATTAATAATTATTATACGTATTATTCAGTACGATTTATGTGTGAAAACAACACACTTTATTATTTTATTAATAGGTATAACGTTTCATAGCTGAATATTTTGACATTATTTTGGCCTAAATCTTATTTTCATAAATAGAAATAAAAACAATTAATGAGGTTAATTTATTTTAAAATGAGAAACGGATTTCTGTACTTAAATACAAATTGTTGACAGTGGAATATAATAATTTAGGTAATTATTTCCTTGTTCAGTTATCCTCTATTCTGATATATGTGTAGGGAAGAAAATGAAGACGAAAATCAGTGGATGGACAGAAATCACGCCAAAATGAAGAGATTGGCTCTAATTCTCAACCTCTACTGTCCCGAGCACTGCAAGGTGCTGCTGATGGGCATGGACCTATTGTGTTTCAACCTGAGCGTTTTGGCTGAGAACGCCGACAAAGTTTATTTGTACAACATTGTAGGTGTTACCGGTCATCATGGAATGGTGAAGTTACCAACCATCTCTAGGGTAAATATACGGTTTACCCACTTACACACCAAACATGACCATAAAGTGTGTACCATTCATGCTGGACGTATCTTTATTTCGCTATTTACTATTGTCATTCTTACAAATTCTTACTTTTTTTAAATTGTTATCTACGTATATATTAAATTATACTATAAGATGAGCTGAAATTGCCCGAACAATTATTGTCTTATGCTAAAGGGTTTAAAACCCGTTTGCTATACATAAATAAATATATTATAATAATATAATTTTCTGCCGTGCAGGAACTTAGATACGTGCCTTTTTTTAACATGCAGGAACTTTCACATCTCATTTTTATTTCCTGGTAGGAAATAACATTCGTACTTTTTTACCATGTAGGAACTTACACATCTCGTTTGTAGAAATTATCTTTTGTAATTTTTACTTACTACTCTCGTATAGAAACTTACGATTCCCCAACCATTTTATATACAAATTTGTTCCCAGGAAAATGGCTTCGCAGTAGTAATTGACCGTTGACTGTAGTTACCGAATAATTAAACTTAGTCTGATTTAATGATTCGTGATTGTATTAATCTAATTGGATTAAAAGTTTGTACTTTAAAACTAGAAAGTATAATATACTTCAAAGTATAATAATATAATAGGTATAAGTGATTAAATTCTTTGGTTTAAATTTTAACAGACCATGCCCCTCCACCACCCAACTTGAAAATGAAAATTGTACCGACGACTCACTCACTATGTCATAACATTATAAAATACCTCGTATTATATTCTGATCAAACCTTATACATACCATTTTGGGAAAACAAAACCACAGCAGTTGTGTAACTAAATAGCCTATTCAAGACGCCGTATCCACCTTAATAATTGCTTCCACTTTTTAATGGTCAATTTATTGTTTGTAGACATGCAGTTGTAGCATTTTGAACCTATAATACTGATTATTGTTTTGCCCATAAATATTTTAGTTTTACAAAATGTATTATTCGATACAAAAATCTCACATCAAACTTTTTGTGTATACTCATTACGCTTAATAGCCAATAGGTATATTTTTCTAAGTCAGCACTCAGTGGTTATAATATTTACCTAGGTAACTATAACTATGTTTTTCCAAAGCAACAGTATGCGGGTAATATCAATATGTTTATTTAAATTGTAAGCGAGGTAGGTACTACATCTACATTATTCAGTAACGAAGTTTTAGTAATAACTAAGTCATAATTAATAACTAATAATATTCAATCGTACTTTATTTTATTTTTATTTTTTGCGTGTGCGGTGAGACGGGGGAGCTCATGCCATCAACCCTCTTCGCCCGTATAGTTTCACCAATGATTATAAGTTAATATTTTGGTGTTTAGTTTCCGGTATTATTCAAACGTTCGATCATTATAAACACTCGACCTACCTAAATTATACGACCTAGTACCCATACCTATTTATAATATAGGTGACGGGAATCCCGATCTCGAACCTGCACTGCCCGCCGGTTTGGGGCTTCGACGGCTCTGCGGAATACGTGGACTTCAAACACGTGCTCTATCACAGTGGTAGATCGGACTCAGACCACCACTGTTGCAAAGATCCGGCCACGGCGGTGCAAGATTATTCGAAAGTTCGAAATAAGCACAAATACTTGCAGAGCGTACTACAGCAATCGGAAAGTCTGATGGGCAATGACGGCGAGCACGTTGCAGTGAGCACTAACATTGGTACCTCAACGATGACCTACATAATTTATGTGCATTATAGATAATTATTGCCATCGCAGGCGACAGCTATCTGTAATATATATAGCGATATGTAGGTATACTAACTAATGAGACTAATGAGAGGCGCTCTCGGCGTGTCTCCTAAATCTTACAAGCGGGAAAGAGCGAAAACAAAATTTGATTTCAAGAAATGTTCTAATCTACAAACAAATTGTCCTCCCATAGTCCCATAGATGACCTACGGAAGGGAGAACGGCTAAGACATCCAACATAAAAATACTCCAATCGCTCAAAAAAATAAAAAAATTTCTCGTACAGATTCGTGTAACTACTGTTGATGTTCAGTGTTTTTTGCTATAGTAAAACTATTCACGTTCATATGAAGCTTGGATGCCAATTTAACTTGATTTTGAATGATGTTCAAGTTGCAAGTGTTATATTCTTATAAGTTAAATTCACTGTTACTTTCTACAGTAAACACCCTCGACCTAATATTATCCGTCTATAATCTATGCACATATATAAAAGTAAAAGTTTCTTTGTTTGCCCTATAGGTATATATATTAACTCAAAAACTACAGGACCGTTTTCAATAAAAGTTATGTCAGTAAATTTCTTGAAACTCGAAGAGTGTTTATATTCTGTTTATAGCATATTTTTTCAATCCCTGCGAGTTGCTAAAGATTGGCTCCCATAATATGAATTTAGTTTTGGTTCACAAAATTCAAATATATTTTTTTAAATTTAAATGGTTGCCATCACGTGGTTACAGATTATATTATTACTATTATAATCAGTAGAAATATCATATGAAACATAAAAAAAAACCCAATCCTATAGTAAAATACTTATGATTAGGTAGGTACAAGGATTACTTTTATGATTTGCAATCGCGTGATTTGCTTTCTTAGTATTTTGGACTTATATTTTATGAAAACACGTAAAGACGAATACCTACATTTGCAGTCTCCAGCAGTATTAACGATGTTGGATTTAAGTCGGTTTTTGAGCATTTCAGGTTACATTTATGTATTATAGAGGTACCTAATGCTATAATAACGAGACGAAAAACGGGAGACGCTACCTGTTAAATAAAATAATTCGATCGTGTTTCACTCTGTTCCTTCTTCTCTTATAGAATCAAATGCCAACAACGTAGAGCGTCATCTGTGTAGTTTGCCCGAAATACGTGTGGCCGTGCGAATGATATCAGAATGGTTCAAAAACGATGGTCGTATAACCCTCAGCGCTGCTGTTTTTTCAGACGGTATTTTTCATATCATAATATTCATATAAAATATATTTAGTGGTTATGTGCTTTATTTTGAAATTCAATAACTTAGCAATTTTATTTAATATGAAAAAAGTCGACCTACGTGTTCAGTGTTCACCAATGATGATATTAAATTTTATGGTAAATTGATCGATATATATATATAATAATATAATAGCATCATACTCGTTATGAACGTCTAGAAAATAAATAGGCCTGATCAAATATCGTATTTATTTCCTCTTTATTAACTGAAATGTTTCTTATTTATTATTCATTATAATTAAGGTTGGGATGTTTATGACCTTAAAAACTCTAAAAATGAATGAAATATGCCCAATAAATATTTAAATATCCCCTTAAAAAATCAAATATGACATTTAAAAATATTATTATTAGATACAAATACACCTTAAATTATATAAAAAAAAATTTTCCGCAAAATATACAAATATGCAAAAAGTATGAACTTGCACTTGTAATGTGTCGTGTACCTAATATACATTTTTTTCGGATATGATTTACTCCACATATGTATTTTATAGAATAACACTAATACATCCTTGGACCCTCCCTGAACTCTAACACAACCTTATAACTTATAACTTATAAGTTATTGTGTAGTCAAGATCAAGCAGCATTGGAGCTTATAATTTTACTCTTTTTTAGTGATGATGAAAACACGATTTAAAACTAAAATATTTCGGTAACACTGCAGTCTACTTGTGGCGCACCATTCTCTTAGTTAAGATTTTAACGTGTTAAATCATTATTTCCGATACAGGCATCACCATATCGCCCATACCTATACTCGATCGCGATTACCGGTCTTAAACCTTTTTAATAAAGGTATAAATAGTAAAGATAAGGCTTAAAAAGTACACATTTTACATTTTCTAGTTTAAGTTATCTGTGAAACCTAAAACCACCAATGCTTACCTGGCTATAGTGGCTACATATGGGTTTATAGTTTTATACTATAATATATTAGTTAGATTTTACTTTTAATTTTTCTGACTTAAAACAGATACGTTTATTGTTTTTTCATCGAAATATGTATTTATTCAAAATACATTTTAATGTATCTGAATCCGATTGTATGCCATACGAAATGAATTTATAACTTGGTCTGCAATGTGCTTAACTAAAAGAAAAAATATGAAAAAATCATAAACATCCTAACCCTAATTATAATCATATTATAGGCTTGTGCGATCCTCTATTATAGGACTTAGACGTATCTATCCGTTTTTACAAAATATAGCACACAAAATAAAGCACATTTTAATTCCTCATAACTAATTTTGAATAGTAAAATTAGAATAATAACTATAGATTTTCATATTGACCATTGGGTTACGCGGTTAACACTTAACAACCTGCAGTACAAACATATATAAGTTAAAGGTCTTACGAGGGTAGGTACAGAAAGAAATGGTTTTTTTTTTTTACCCAAGAGCTAGCTTATTAAAAACAGCGCAATCAAACAGCTTTTAAAATGGCGCGTAAAAAAGAACGGGAATGCACAGGAGTAGTTAACTCAGAACAGTACTAGTAATGGCAATAGAATATCTATAACTAATGTCTAACTGTCTAAGCCAGAGATGGCGAACCTATGACACGCGTTTCACAGAGTGACACGCGCGCACTATTTTAGTGACACACGTCATGAATGTGTAAAAGTTTGATAATATTAAAATTTTTGAAAAAAAAATGAAGGGTTATCGAACTAATTGACACGCAGGGAAAACAAAATCCAACCAAAATTTTTATTTGACACTCTGGTACAAAAAGGTTGGCTATCCCTGGTCTAAGCCAGGGGCGCCATTTGGGGGGGGGTGCAGGGTTTGCACTTGCACACCCTGTAATTTTGTTGTCTACTATTGGCCTAGCCTAGGCATCATTTATACTTTGGCCTTCAATTTGCCAATCTTTAATTGTGTATGCACCGCTATTCACGGCTAATCATAAATAATATTATAATATTATTGGGTCCTTTAATTAGATAGTTGATAATTTGATATCAGTATCACTATCCACTGGCGTGTAACTCCTAGGTTTATAGATAATATTATAATACTATTATATTCATAGACCGAAACATTAGGTATGATAATGCGTGCAAGTGGGTGGATCTTGTTACAAGAATCGGGCGCTGAAATCGATTAGTTGTTATGGTATTTCATTCTATCAAATGATCGTTAATTATTTTTCTATAATTAAACTGTGACTCTGGATAAGGCAGATATGGACTTATCTTATGGCTTATGTTTATATCGTTTATTATTTTCGATTTTTGATTAAATTAAAAATATATTTATTAATTATTTCATAAGTTATATACTTCTAAAGTTATATATTAGAATATTAATAATTCTATACCCTACAGTTCTATAAATTATATTTACTCACTACACTGTAGTGAAAATGGATACCAATAATAAAAGGAAAAGTGGTGCAGCTAGGATGAAAGATACAAATAAAAAAATAATTATTTAAAATCTCCACTTCTTGTAAAAAAATTGACATGTTTTCTAAAAATGAAATTAAAGCTAAGACAAATGTTGCAGTAAATCAAGTTGCTATTGCTTCAAAGCGATACAAATATTCAACTAAACTTTGATTCTATCGTATCCTCTTTATCACAACTTCCTACAGCCTTTTGTGAAACTTTAAAAATTATTTCTATACTAAAGATTCTTCCAATTACTACTGCTTCAAATGAACGATTCTTTTCATCCCTTAAAAATGTTAAAACTTTCTTATGTACTAAAATGGGAGATAACAGACTAAGTGATCTTGTGGTTTTAAATGTAGAGAAAGAAGAAGCTAAGTGCGTAGATTTATATAAAGCTGTAGATGCATTTTCAGATATGAAGCAACGGAGATACCCGCTTAAATAATAACCTATGCTGCTATGCTTTTATAATTATACCTATGCCATTATTTTATATTTATATATTGTATTAATGTTAACTATAAACATATTAAGGTCAATATAATAATAAACTATTATATTTCAAGTTGTTCATTATTTGCATTACGCTTTACTTTATGCTTTAGTCACAAACTTATCTTTAAATAATTAGTTTGTATTTTCCTTTTTTTTGGATACCTTTTTTTCATACATAGCTAAGAATGTTTTTGACACTAAAAATTCTATATTGAAAAATTAAAAACACGAGAAACGTTTTTTTAAGGATTGGCCTGGCGGTGGGAAAAATTGGCCTCTTTAATTGTTTGCACACCCCTAAAAAAAACTGAAATGGCGCCCCTGGTCTAAGCCCTAGGCACTATAAAGGTTGATACTTCATAGTGCCCCAGGTACGCAGTGACTAGCCCACTCACAGTATCCACTGCCAAAAACATGGTTTTACATAAATAATTCGTCATTGTAAAGCTATTATAGCCAATTCCTATCTTCTTATACCGACAATATTTCTCAGAATTTAAATTTTACACCATTTTTATAGGAACATTTGGCCTACCATTTGGAATGTTTTTATCTCAACCAGTTTGCATGAAAAACGGTGAATGGAAACCAAGTTTTGACTTCCCACCTCCAGATGAAACGGTCATAAGTGACATGCTATCCAAAGTATCAGATATTACATTCGAATATAATCTTGGAAATAGGTTTAATATGAACCCCAGAGAAATGGCAGTAGAACTTAGTGAATAACACGTGTATAAATTCATTGAAAATATAACTTCATTTTTTTACTAAAATTGTAATTGATGATTGTTTGTTAAATACAAGAACGGAGACAGCCGTGGGAACGGCGAAACATGTCCCTTTAGTTTGAATTATACATAAGAATCTATTACAAATTTAAAATCCATACAAACTCTTAAATCCATTTAAGAATATTGATGACACTTTATCTGATGAAACATGGCTATCATTTTATTTACTATTGTCTATTAAAATAAGTGATAATCACTTGACTATTTTGTATAGGTTAGGACGGTTAGGTTACCTAATAAATATGACTAATATGAGTGCATAATGTAATAATATGTGAGTATTTTACAACATGTTACATGTATCATTTATAAAACTCTATTCATATTTTAGACTCTGGGAAAACCATTTGAATTTTAATAAAACTTTATACACTTATGCATAATATAAATTAATAAATAAAAGTGAAAAAATTCAAAGATAAAAGTTTAGTCTTAGACCAACCGATTATAATCAATAGTAGCTGGTACCTAGGTAGTACTGTACTAGGTATAGGTACTTAAATAATACTGTATACGTGAAACAAGTGGAGAAAGAAAGAATTGTATAAAATACCAATGTAAATTGAAACAGCCACAATCTATAATAATGGTGTATTTATAAATATTATGATTAATATTTCATGAACTCATGACAACCAATGACTTAACAGGGGGGACTGATGATTTACCTATAGGAAATAATGCCATATTATATTTATCACTCATTAGTAGATTTTTTGAACAGCAGCAAGTAATTTTACTAATTTACAAAAATGATAAATTATTGAATAACGGCTTAGAATTTTATTGAGGATACATTTTTAGGATATAAACGTTTCAAGAGTACAATGCATGCCGAGTACAACATTTTGGTAAGTTATTGATATTTATACGAAAGGTATGTAACTTGGAGGAAAAAATCATATAATATATGACATAGTAATTTGGAACTTTGCAAGGAGTTGTGTGGTGGTATTATAAGGAACGTTACTGAGTTTCAACATTTTCAGACATCTTTTTGCACACGCCACAACCATAATGGTCCCAGTTTAGCAAACAGACATTAGAATCTTAACATCAGGACATAATTGTATAATGGCATTTATTGTATAAGGAGTAGTATATATTATAATATGTACATTACTTATTATTTTATTATAAAGTATAAATACACACAAGTAATAAAGGAATATTTAAAAAAAAAAGAATAATTAAGTACGTATAAAATTGAATTAATTGTTTATATTGAACCCCAGATGGTTATATAAAATAATTTTGAGGTTCTTCCTTACAGTGGCATATTCAGGGGAGGAATTAATAGGTAAGAACAATAAAAAATATTTATTAATAATTCAATAATAATTTCAGATCAAATTTATCAAAAATGATTTTTAAACTCCTTGTTGTAATCTCCCCCCCACCCATTAAAAAATAATATTAATTCTGGATAAGCCACTGTTTCCTTGTATTATAAAATAAGAACTACCAAAAAAAAAAATATAAATATATTTAATAATTATAAATAAAATCCCAAATTTATTCTGAATAATAAATGAAAAATATAAAAATATAAGTATCAGATCTTAAATAGGGGTTAGGTGAAAATATGATTATTTTATCCAAATAAAATATAATATTACAAATATAAGCCATAACTTTGTATCAGTTTTATACGGCAAATTAATTTTATATACTGAACATGCTCAAGTTTGAACAGCCATAAATTAAAAGGCACCATTTTGTATGTAGCCTATGTATGGACTGGAATTTAGATAATATTGTACATTTGTATTTGATTTTTTAAATAATACAATTTAAATATACATTTAAAAAAATACTTATTAATTAAACGATAATTATAGTTTATAGGTTAGGTATACTTTAATGTAAAATGTATTGTAATTTAAACTTATACTATCATTTAAACTGGAGCCATACACTCATATGAAATGATCATAAAAATAAAATAGTATTGAATTATGGCATCATGGAGTCAAAGGATATTCTTTTTTAAACAGTCATTTGAAAATTTTGTAAATGGTCAATATTGAGATGTTACTAAGGTGTTTGTTGTTGTATTTGAGCTTGCATCTTAGCAATGACGTCTTGCATACGTTTAAGTTCAGCCTCCTTTTCCTGCAAAATTCTGTCTTTTTCTGAGCCAGAATTTTTCTCATGTTCGGGAAGTGATCTATACAAATTTAGAATGTTAAATGCTACAGTTATAATTAATAACTATGTAATAATAATAGTCATACGTAGTTCTTTTTGGTACAGGTACTCCTTTTGCTAGGCGCTCTGATCGGTAGTTTTCATAATGTACTTCTTGTGTTACTTCTTGAAGATCTTGCATATGTGTGCTGAAAAGACACATAAATTAATATAAATGTGTTATCATTGAAACACTATTGATTTCTATCAGTTCATTTACATAAGCATAGTACGCAATTTGATGAAGTCACAATGGTCAGGATTTTCAACTTCAACAACACCCCATGGATAGAACCGCCCTCGGACTTTTTTACCACGCACTTCTAATAATTGATTTGCACCACAGACAGCAAATGGTACAGCTTCTTTTAATTGTTTAACCTGTAGTATGAACAATAGTTGAGTAATTTATTTATTTATCAACATTTTTATTTTTTTAATAATTAAATAAAGTTATTAAAAACCTGTTCTTTATAGTCTTCATCTTCGTCACTGTCACAATCGGGTAGAGGGTAAATCTTTATGCCATTAGCATTAATTTCTTCTAGTATCTATAAGAACATGATATATACTGAATTTTTTTAACACTAAAAAATCTTAGACGGATTTTTCATTGACACAAATATCTCTAAATATTATATTATTATTTATAACTGGAGTTCATAAGTTCATGCACTAACAATTGAATATAATATATATGCAAGATGCAAATATGATTCAAAAAATGCTTAAATATGCAGTAAAAAAACATTTAATAATAAAATAAAAACTCAACAATATGAAGAAAAAAAATTGTCAAATAATTATTTAATTTATAAACAAACCTTAATCTTATTCTAATGAATTTAAATTAATAAATAGATTTGTTTGTTCATGCATATCTTTATAATTGCTTTGCTAGGCTGGCAAGTCAAACATAATTTTTCAATCATTTCACCATCCATGCATTAATTAAATTATTTTCAACATTTTCAAAGTTGTTGTTTTTGATAGATATTAAAAACATAATTTTAAATGTTATTTATATGAAAAAAGATGCATGGTTATGCCAAAAACCTTAAATGTGCAATTATATAATGTAAAATTAAATCACATTTATTGAACCCTATCACTTTGGAGCAAATGTCTATGTTACTTAACACTTACTAAGTTGGAAAGATTTATGTGCAAATGCATGAACGTACGATCCTCCTTTATAATTTATTACAGTGAAACCTCTATTAACAAACCTCCCGCTAGCAGAAATCACAAAATATGTTTAAAATATATAATATTTGTTCTATCAATAAAATATTTCTACATTTGACTTTCCCAATTGGCTTCATGATAGTCACTCAAGTGAAAATGTTGGTAACTACTTTAGCGAGGTAACCATTGATGTTTGTACATTCATACATAATTAAAAACTAAAAAGTAGTATCAATTATTATCAAACGACAAACATCATTATTAATATTGTAGTTTTGTACCTATTTAAAAAGTATAGAATATTTTATATTGCATAATGCAAAATCAATAAATCATTAGATGTTGTTTTAAGTAGATATAAAATTGGACGTTAAGAGGACGTTATACTCACATGCGTTGTATCCATGTATCCATCTTACAAGTGCGTAACAATATCAAATTTTACATTCAGCAGATCACGTTTAGCTCAGTTAGCTTAAAAATTAGAGTGAATTCACCTCTTATTAAAATTAAAGGTAAGATTATTACGGAAGGTTTCTCATGGGCTTTTAATTATATTTTAATTTCAAAGAGAGTTATGAGTATTTTAAGTTGTACAAGCAATTTACAATTTTTAAATACTCATAACTCTCTTTAAAATATAAAATTTAATAAAAAAACCCACGAGAAGCCCTCCGTAATAATCTTACTTTTTATTTTAATAAGAGGTAATTCACTCTAATTTTTAAGCTAACTGAGCTGAATGTGACCTGCTGAGATTTGATATGTTACGCTCTTGTAAGACGGAAACAACACATGAGTTTATAACGGCCTCTTAAATTGTTTAGGATATGTAAACAAGCATGATTTACACTAGATTTACATAAACACAGAGCCAAGTGCCTAACATTTGGGATATAAGCAATTTAAAATAAATTTGAAAGTTTAAAATTCCAAGGAAATCATAAGGGTTTATGCAGATTCTGAATACATAGTTGTGACATAGTAAATAAATTATTAACAGCATCATATTTGGTTTGATATCCATTGAGAATGAAATGCCCAGAATTAAAAACATGTTTAAATTTGACCATATTTCTTGTAGTTGACATACTGTTACAGAACATACAAATTTAATTCAAACAAACTTTACCGTGTTAAAAATTGACATTGAAATGTTATATACTTATATCATATCATTTAAATTAAAACCAAATTTGTACACACTAATTATAATTCTTTGATCAATATTACTTATCATCAATAATATAAAAGATGGGCAATAAATATTTATTAGTCGAACGTTATCAATAAATTATTTCAAAACCATTAAATGATTAAAACCGCATAGTATTATGTGTCAAAAATATTCCAATTGGATTGCTGATTTTAGAACATTTTTTGTAATATTATATAATATAAGGTAATAATTTTTAAATAAATATGTACACGTGTATGCTAGGTTTAATAATAACTAATAAGTATATACTTTTCTAAATGTCAACCAATTAAAATTTAAAATATTAAACAATATTTAATCTAAACTATTCCATAATCTAGCGTTAACCATATATGTTGTCAATAACAGTTAGCTCATTTGATGATAGACCACGCCCACCATTCATATACCAATATAAAGAACTTTAAAACAATACAC